GTTGCCACCTGTTAATAAAATTACTTTTTGCAATCCTAATAAACGTAGGCATCAGCTCTGCACCGTCACTGTCAAATGAAAAGACTAAGCCTCTAGATGTGTAATAATGTATTATTTTTCTGAGTAGGGTTGCCTCCTGATTAAAAACTATTAGATCTTCACCGTTCGTTGGATAAAAAAATAAGATACCAAATGAAAGTGCATGGCCTTCGCGTGTACAAAAACTTTAATTTTTTTGAGTAGGGTGGCCACCTATTTGAAATTACTATCCTATCCTAACGCAGTATAAAGCAATACCAAGATTTGTTTACCACGCTAATTTCGAAAGCTACTAAACGGATTTGGATACCATTTTGTTTTATATGTTCTATATCGTTAGGGGTATTATCTTTATTGCATAGTATTTCTATAAGGTTACCACCTGTCTAAAAACTTATAAGATCCTTGCATTGAATTACAAGAAGTGAGGTGTCAAATGAAAGCGCTTGTCGTCTAGATGTTCGGTAATGTGTTATTTTTTGAGTAGGGTTGCCACTTTTTTTTAAATTATGAGATCTTCACCGTTCGTTGGACAAAAAAATTAGAAATCAAGTAAAAAGATATTGTCTCCGGATGTGCAAAAAGTATTAATTTTTTTTTGAGTGGGGTTGCCACCTATTTAATAATTACCACATTTTTATTAATTAGATACATCCGATTTTCACAGTTCTTTCAATAAAAAAAAAAAAAAACAAGTGAAAGGATATTATCCTCACATGTACAATTCTTTAATTTTTTAGTGGGGTTGCCATCTATTTAAAAGTTACAACCTTACATATACTATGTGAAGGCTTTTTTTATTTATTGCATCAGATTTGGGCAATTCATTCATTAAAAAAAAAAATTGGTCTCAAAGGAGGCCGACTGGTTTATTATATTTTAAGACCTCCGGAAAGATCGGGAAAAAACAAAGATTTATGCGATCTGGACCGATTGGAAATCTCATTCAAAATATCATTATTTTGCTGCCGTTAATAAAATTTTTAAACAGTTTTATTCGCACCTTATAAGCTTAAACTTGTCTATCATCTGAAGTGGCGTCTTGGAAAAAAAACTTTTTTTAAACTAATTTTATTTATAAAATATTGGTTTTTGGGGTTACTTTCAAATCGGTCCATCTCACGTTGATCTTAGTATTTCTCCTAAATATTTTGGCGGAAGACTTAATTTATAAAAAATGTATAATTTCGATCGAAAAACAGTTGCTTGTATGCAGAGTAATATACCCTAATGTACATACATATGTCGTCCGAAAACAACAGCAGGAAAAAATATTACTTCAAAGTTAAAAAAAATTACCAAGGTTTTCACCATTCACCCTTTCCTTCATAGCCACTTTCCAACGCTGAGCACTCTTTCGCCTTCTTAGATTTGTAGCTTCATCATGATGTACGTTTATTACCAAACAAACAAAAACAACTTTACGGTCATAAAACGTGGAAGCAAGTAAAGTTAAAAAAACACGCTAAGGGCGTAAATACGTAAAGAGAAAAAAAAAACAAATTGTTAACTTAAATAAACAACCGCTGCTACTGTCTGGCTACTGAATTTATTGGAGGCACTGGCACAGGCACTGGCCTGTCTTCGCCTCAGAGGTTAAATGGCTACATAAGCACGGACTCAAGTCAGTAAAGGAAGCACTTTTATTCGGATTTAATGTAATTTTAAGGTGTGTGGAGTGAAAAAACTGTATCTTAATTTGACATCGATTTGCGGGAAATTGAGATTTTGACCAGTTTACGCGAAAATAAAAATACAAAGAACCAACACAAGCAGCATAAGCAACGAAGATCTAGAAACACTTTCCCATCACATAAGACTGTTTATAGTTAAGTGAATGACCAGAAAGACTACCGTCAACTTCCACCTAAAGTTATCTTATTGGGTTGGGGGGTTTCTTTACAAGCTTTCAAGACATTCCGCAACTCTGTACTTTCTCCTTGAAGGTGAGAATCGTTCTTTCCAACTAGTGCTTTTATCAAGTTCTTTAAGTTGATCTATCTTAGTCAATCTCAGCTATCGCAGCGTTGAATAGGATCTTAAAGCCACTTCCATTGCTTAGCTCAGAATTGGGACTCGCAGGCATTCTACAAAATTTTTTCAATGCGCCCTTGAGGCTAAAACAAAGTGTCAAAGCAAGACTAAAAGAGCGTATCAGAACCAAAAACGCTGCCGCCAAGGTAGGCATTGAACTCAGAACTAAGATCGGACTTCACTACAAAAACTAAATAATGATCAAAGAAAGCTTTATAAATAAAACAGTAATTTAATCACTAACGTTCAGCACAGGGTCTCTACATCTGAACACGCCCAGGAGACTTCTAAACTTAGACAACATACTCTTAGGGCTGGTTTCTCCAACTCAACTTAACTTAGTTTAGCCATTTCTTGGACTTAGTCAAGAAGAAGCTGATTGAGTTTGCCTACTTTTTAATCAGAATATTCTTGTCTAAGTCCAAAAAATAGCTAAACTAAGTTAAGTTAAGTAGGAAAAACCAGCCCTTAATGTACATTTTCCTACTACTTACAAGTCGAAAGAATCTAAGTTCGACGCTTAGTCGGTAGAATATTTAAATCAGTGACGACTAAAACAAATGCTAAACGAGCTTTTTCCACCTTTCCTTAAAATTTGTGCGGACCAGTCACGATTTACTGCGGGAAAAGCTAATGTAAAAGCTCTCCCTGAAAAAAGTCGTTTCTGTCTTTTGAAAGACTAATTAAAAGATCTGCATGAGGAGTCAAAGCATTTTTTCTGTTCTGTTTCTCTTTTGGCAATAAGAATTCCAAAAATAAAAAATAAAATATCTCCTGTTTTCTTTAAAAAAAAAAAATAAAAACTAAAAATTAAAAGAAAATTAAGTTTAAAAACGGAAAACATTTACTAAACAAAAGAAAAATATTTAAATAAGTTTCTAAAACTTAAATGGTATTAAAAAATATTTTTCTTTTTAAAACAATAACAATTTAAAATAAAATTAAATCTAAAAAAAATTTCAAAATAAAAAAATTGCTAAAAATTACATTAAATTAAAAAAAAAAAAATTGGTGTAATATAATCCAAACATTAAAAAAAAATTATCAAAAAATTAAATAAATTACTAAAAATTACATTTAATTAAAAAACACATAAAATATTTTTTAAAACAATAAAATCTAACAATTAAAAACTATTTAAATTTATAAAATAAAGAAAAATATGTTTATTTAAAAATATCTAAAAATTTAAACAAAAATTAATTATTAAACAGTTGTTTTCTTGAAATTAAAAAAAAATAGTTTTCAGTTTAAAATAATATAATTTAAAATTAAAAAAAAACTATTTAAAAATTAATTAATAAAATTCAAGATAACTACGTTTCTTTTAAACCGAACAATCTAAAAATCAAAAGAAAATTATTTTAAAATAATAAAATAAATTCCTAAAAATTAAATGAAATAAATCAAAATATTTTTCTCTTTATTTAATATAATCTAAAAATTAAATAAAATTGAACTAAAACTTAAAAAAATTAAATAAGGTCCTAAAATTTAAATGATTTAAAAAATGTGTTTTTAAAGCAATATTAGTAATCCTAGAAATTTAAAGAAACTAAATTTAAAAAAAAGTAAATGAAATAAAAAAAAAAACTTTTTTCCTTTCAAACAACACATTCTATAAGTTCTATAAAAAAAATAGATAAAAGCAAGTAATTTTTAAGCAAAAAACAAAACCGACTTCAATTCTCATATAAAAATTTAAGATTACCGTTAATTTCTTCATGATCAAATGATCGGATCTAAACCAAATTAGTATGGAACCACCTCTAAGGTATCAGCTTTCCTTTAAAATCGACTAACGTGGTCCTACGCTATGCGGTAACATACACAAAAAATAATAAAAATATTCCGGCGAATTGATAACCTCCTCTTCTTTTGAAGTCGGCTAATAAGAAAATAAAATAAGTTTCTAAAACTTGAATGCATTCCAAAAATAAATACATATATATATAAAATCTAAAAATTAAATGAAAATTTAATTAAAAAGCAAAGAAAAAAAATTCCGTTTCCCGAGGACTCCAACCTCAGATCTCTCGAATCGCACGCCAGTGCTTTGCTCACTCGACTATTGCGACTGTTGGAGCAGCTGTCAAAAGAGCTTGTTTTGTAAGACTTTCGTGCCAGAATAAACAAAATCTTTCAAACTATCTTGCCTACTGCCAAGGCGCATCTATACAAGGTGGTGTTACTAGAATGGATTATTTTATATTTTTGTCTCTGCGCTAGTAAAGCAGAATGTTATCCAAGACGAAATGGCGTAACTTTAGGATGTCAACAAAACGATATGGCGAAAAGTTTCTGCTATTTTTTTCGTTTAGTCATCAGGTACCAAAAAGCAATAACAAAATACCACCTTATATGAATACGCCTATCCTACTGCCACTCAATTGTCTTACAAAAGACTTTCAACTATCTTAGTCAGAATTGCCCTGTAAAAGTACTTGAAATCATGTAAAAAGATTTCAATTTTATATTTTGTAAATATGTTCACTTCATATAAAAGCTCAAGGAGTAAAAGCTCTTTGGTTATTTAAGTTATGTTAGATCAGCAATGACCAGAGAGCTTTTACACTATGCTCGCTCATAAAAAATCTATTAATTGGTCATGACTGGTCTTAAATTGGCAGACACAAGGCAATAGCATTTCATCGATTCACTGTTTCAGAATAAAGGGGTTACAATATGCAGAGCTTTTTAAGGATTTCTAAAAACTGTATATGTAATGTCTAATAAATTCTATAATTTTTAAAAATATGGGCTCGAGGACAAGGTCTTAGTGAAAATTTCCTAATTAGTTATAATCGTTTTCGTTTAATTGCTTATTTCGTTAAAATATAGGTTTTCTTGTTATGATACGAGTATATCGCTTTTTTAATAAACTTACCCATATGTGTATGTGTATGTTTACTAATTCAATTTTCTAGATATCTACATACAAGTGAACAATTACGTCATGAAGCCGCTTGAGGAATATATGCTCTTTACTAAATCAGGTGCCGATAATATTACGGTAATTCATCCGCAGGGCCTACGCAGCGCACAATGTATTGCTAAATTTGATATATCAGAGCAACCATCACAAGAACCAATGGTCAACGTGAGTTTGGTAAGTAATTGACGAGAATATCTGCATATAGTAGGTGCTAGGTATGAGAACGGCAAGCCCAGAACCATAGAAGTGGCAATTTAACTACAATTTTGAAATTGTAAAGACACAAACAGTAGCGATGCCACGCAAAACTAAGTAATTACTTTAGACTCTTAGGCCTGTTGGTTGATATTGGCTGCGATTGCTTTGGCTTACTGGAACTCAACAACTCAATGTTGCTATTCGCTGCATAAATTAGAATGTGTCGAAACCTGCAAGCGGCCGATAGCTTTACTAGTTTTCCATTTACCACTTTACCATACACTCATCCATATATACGCATAAACATACAAATACCAACCATTGCAGAGCGCCGAAGCCTGGGTGGAAGATCCACCGCAACGTGTACTCTACGTAGCTCAATTTGGCTATGACGTTTCCGAGAAGGAAGATTCCACACAAGTGGTATTCATAACGTTGACTTCACTCTTTGTGATCATAGTAATTTGCTGCCTCATAGAAGTGTACCGCAGTCATCGAGCTTATAAGAAACGCATCGAGCGACAAACTGACGAGGACATCATTTGGTCAAAGGAGCAAGCGACGAAAATGCATGAGTCGCCAGGGGTAACCGGCACACAATCGTACGGCTACAAAAAGGTGAGTGTGTGTGTATGTGTGTGTGCATGTGTGTTGTAGCGGGAGCACAATGCGAAAGCAGAATTGGAATTGAAAAGGTGATTAGTTCCAATTAAACTGTAATTTACATTGTTCTCTCTTTCTCCCGCTGGCAGTTGCCGCAAGATGAAAAGAAGCCAGGCAATGGAGCGCCACTTGTGGGTATTTTGAAAAATGGCAGCGCAGCTACAACAACAGCTGCGGCTGCTGCTGCAACAACACCGCCGGCCAAGGAGAATGGAAGTACGAAGAAAAATGGCGATATACCACTGGGTCATATTGATGCACGCATCGATGAAGAGAATGAAGACGATGATGTTGATGACAATGAAGGCGATGATTTGGTCAGTGCGGCGAACAAAAAAGCGGAAGTGGACAAGAGCTTAGACGAAGCTTTGGAAGCAGAACAGTGTAAAGAGCAGGTGGAGCAGAAAGAGATTAGTGCGAATGCATCACAGAAAGGCGCTCAGGCGGCAAATGAGGATAAGACAAGGCAGGCAAGTGGAAAAGAAATTAGCGCAGATGCAACTGAAAAATCGAATGAAAAACCAAGCGAAGGTGGTGGTGGTGCCACCAACGAAGAAACGAAAACGAAGGAGGGAGGTAAAGAAACAGCAGACAAGGACAAGTCGAATGCAACAGCAGCCACACCGACAACAAAACAATGCAGTGGTGGTATGTAGCGGAATAGAAGCTAATTTTTAAAGCTTTACATTCTTATTTTTTATTATAATTTTTTTCTTAAATACCTATTTCATTTGTGTATTACCAAAACAACTTCATTTCTTTTACGCATTCAAATATTTAGCAGACGTTCAAGCAGCAAGCAAAAGCACAGCGTTGCCGCCTTTAACGTCAGCGCCGCCACATAATCCGGAGAAGGAGACTCAAACGCCAGCACAAATAGGGGGCGATACGGTAGATGGCCAACAGCGGCAAGGACAGCAGTCATTGCCTGCGACTACAAATGGCACAACAGCCAATGGCCATGGCACGGTAAGCAAGCGATATTGTGTTGAGAATGGTGCAGGTTTAGCGTTAATTGGCTTAGCACCTTTATGTTCCATAAACGAAACCGATTTATTGCTTGAATCAGATTGATTTCATTATGTAAATATGCATTAGTGGCATTTTTTGTTATTTGTACATATCACGCTTGTTTGTTTTTTTACGCTCGTATAGAATGCAAGTACTTGCTAATACAATACGTAGACATGCATACGTACATTTGTAAATATGTTTAAGGTAAATCCAGCAGAAGATGTAAACAAGTGCCTACAAACGACTACCTCATCGCCAAAGCATTTATGTAATTTTTCAAGACCATAGGCCATTTGCCGATAGACCATAGACCATATCTTATAGATTATATGTATATTGTCCAGGGATCGCATCATACCTCATGCCTCATGGATCACAGTTCATAAATCATAGATCATGAATTATAGCTAATAGACTACCTCAGCCCTATCAGGAACATTTTCAGACCGTTTTCGAAACATTTTGGCATTAGCACAGTACCTTTTTTTGACTAATAAATGGTCCATTCGGAACCTTTTCAAAACGTTAAACATCACGACTCTTTTGCCGTTTCGCGGTCATTTAAGACTAGTTCAAGACTATTTCAGAAACTAGTTTGGCATAATTGTGGGGTAGTTCGAAAATATTCACGATGACAAAGCAGTGTACTGGTCTCGAAGAGATTAAATTAATGTTTAATTTCTAGCCTAACCTATTTCTGTACATTTGAGGACTATTTCATGACAAGTTTGTGACTAGTACGGGCCTATTTTGGGTTGGTTCCAAACTAGGCACGATGAAAAAGTCGTGTACTGGTCCCGGCTATATGAATAAAACGAAATGAAATTAATGTTTGTTTTCAACCTAACCTATTTTTGTATATATCTTAATCGCATAAGGCTTTGCCAAGCCGTACACAGATGTTTGCACATTAGATTTCATGAGTACCTGGTACTTACCCGGCTTTATGCCTTAAAAAGCTATCTAATTAATAACCTCCGTTCTCCTATGGATGTCCAGTCCCGTTTCTTCATTATCTAAAATTCTGTCAAGTTTAGCTATAACCTTGTGGATAAATATTTACGCTTTCGCAGGTTGGCGCTTTATTTGGTCAGCTCTATTGTGGTCGAAAGGAAAGACACTAGAACTGTGAGAACATTCGAACTTTAACTTTATCTATAACCGCTTTTTAAGCTAGACTCAATGGGTCTAAATCTGCATCCATGAGCAATTCCTTAAAGAACACACTTTTATAGACTTTTGATAGTTATATATATGAAGTTGTGAAAGGTCCGTACTGCGAACCAATGGGCTCTATGTGATTTTCTTCACACTTGATAACATTCATTCTGTATCTCGGGCGACCTGTTCATTCCACTAGAAGACCATGTATTCTAAGTAAGTGTAAGCGGTTCAATGCACCACCAACTTAAAAAAGACGGTGCTCCAACGTACGCCAAGTTGGTTTTAATAGAACGAAGACGATTATGACATTAGTCGGCAAGACGTTTCGACGTGGTTTCAAGCCGTGTACTTAAGTTACTAAGATTCACACTCACCAGCACGAAGACAGACATATCTTTATCATTGTTCCAGTGTGTCGTAGTTAGAACCTTAGTGAGCTCAGAAGTACTTAGTACTACTGATAAATCAGCGAACATCGGTTAACTGAGAAGCGAGAGGTTTGTAGAACAGGTAGGGTCCACACAGCCTTTGCTAAACTTCCACCATCCCTTTCAGAGCCATTAAGGCGGGTGTGGAGGTTCATTGACTAGGCGGCATTCTAGCCTCCGTCAGAGAATTTTTACTCATAGATTATAAATTGTGGATCATAATCATAGAACAGAGAACTATAGGTCATGGATTATAAATCATGGATTATGGATCATAGGCGAGAAATAGGTGTTAAATCATTAAGCGTATTTAGATCAGAAATTTTAGATCACATTTTAAAAATTATTTAATCGCATATCGCATTGAATGTCAGGGACATAACTACAAAATTTAAGTTTCTTAAATTTCAAATTTGGAGAATCCTTATTCCTTTTCTATTTGCGTACATAAATTTATCAGGTTTGTAACACCTTCTGCTGGATGTTTTT